CAGGGCTGTGGCAGGGGGTTGGGGCATGGGGGGGTGAGGGCTCTGGTTGGGGGTGCAGACTCTGGGGTGGGGCTGCGGATGACAGGTTTGGGGTGCAAGAAGGTGCTCTGGGCTGGGACCAAGGGGTTCAGAGTGTGGGAAGGGGATCAGGGCTGGGGCAGGGGGTTGGGGCATGGGGGGGTGAGGGCTCTGGTTGGGGGTGCAGTCTCTGGGGTGGGGCTGGGGATGATGGTTTTGGGGTGCAGGAGGGAGCTCCAGGCTGGGATCGAGGGTTTGGAGGGTGGGAGGGGGATCAGGGCTGGGTCAGAGGTGCAGGCCCCGGGCGGCACTTACCCCAGGCAGCTGCCGGAAGCAGCAGTATGTCCCCCCTCCGGCTCCTACAGAGAGGCATGGCCAGGTGGCTCTGCGAGCTGCCCTGTCTGCAGGCGCCGCCTCCGCAGCTCTCATTGGCCAATGGGAGCTGTGAAGTTGGCGCTTGTGGTGGGGGCAGCGCACGAAGCCCCTTGGCTGCCATTATGCCTGGGACCTGGAGAGGGGATATGCTGCTGCTTCCAGGAGCCACGCGGAGCCACTGCAGCCAGGGAGCCTGTCTTAGCCCCGCTGTGCCGCCGACCTGACCAGAGCCACCCGGGTCCCTTTTCGACTGGGTGTTCCGGTCGAAAACCAGACACCTGGCAACCCTAGAAGAGCGGCTGATCGAGGAAGGGGAGGGCTGTGAAGAGAGGATGAGTCAGTGGATAGATCTGAAAAATGGGGATGAAGTGGTCAGAGCAATAGGCAAGGAAACTGTAGGCAAATAGCAGCTGCATTGTGATTGCATTGGAGTGTGTGTGGGAGGGGTGGCAAAGTGGAGAGGTTGCAGCAGTTGAGATGTGAGTGATAAGGGCCATGGATGAGGTGTAGGCAGAGAAATAAGCCCTGATTTTAGATGCAAGTCAGAGACAGTCTGAATGTGTGTGCGAGGGAGAAGGTGGAATCAAAGATAACCCCCAATGTATGGGTCTGAGAGATGGGGAGAATTGTGCTTGTTGTGTCAGTGACGGAGAAAGGGAGGAGGGGAGTGGGTTTTGGAGGAAAGGTAAGGAGTCAAGCTGATCTGATACCTCTCCCTCCCTCACCCATCTAGCTGCTGCCTTCGTTCACCTGCTCTGTCTCGCCCTATGGCTGCTGATCCACAGGGTCCCTGCTAAAGTAACTCTTGCGCTTCTTCTAAAATAATGTAAGACCAGAACAGGCCTCTTTTGATCCAAATCTGCATTTTCCTGCCCTTGATGCTGTTTATGGATATGGTGTAGCTCTCCCATGTACTGTAGGGAGCATCTGGTTGGATGCACAGATACTTCTCTGATGATTAACAGGTTGTCATTTAAAAAAAAAATCCCCAAGAAAACAAATGACTAGCACAGATATCATCCAGCAATTACGTCTTCTGTTAAGGATCGGGAGCCCCGAGTGTGGGATCTGCTGTGAGGGGATTCCCCAACTATAGAACTCACTTCTGTAGGAAATCGTTGAGGCCAAGAATGTAACAAGATTCAAAAAGGGTGTGGATGTTTATACGGATATTGAGAATATCCAGAGATCATAATTAATTCTGTATTAATGCAATGGCTCTGTGGAGCAGTGGAAGGCATTGTGCTTTGTGTGCAAATGGTCACCAGTTCATATGCCATCTAATCTGTCTCGGAACAGATGAATATTCTTCACAGAAGCTAGGAACTTGATGCAGAAATTATTGGGTCAGGTCCTTTAGCCTGTCTTATGCAGGAGGTCAGACTAAATTGTCATCATGGTCCCTTATGGCCTTAAAATTTATAAATGATCAAAAAATTGTGGAAGGATTATTAAACCCCATTCTTCAGGATTTAAGACTGTCTCAATGATCAGAGATCAGGATAAGCCCTAATGTGGAGGGCAGATGACCCCATATCTGCCTACTGCAAGGTTCTTACGTCTGCCTCTGGAGCATTTAGTTCTGGCAGCTTTTGGAGACAGGATACTGGACTGGGTGTACCTCAGGGCTCATCCACTGTGACAATTTCCATGTTCCTGACTGCCACCTTTGCAATTGTGCAAAAAACGTAGGAGGACTAAACAGAAAAGCAGAGATCTGTGAAGATGGATGGAGATACACTACAGACCTACACTAGCAGTAGCAAGAGGTGCCTGCATAATCATTTGTCTTCACTTCATTAGAGAGTCCAGTAACATGGGCACTGACCCCTCGAGCTGAGAAGAGTTGAATCACTTGAAAGTAAGAGTCAAAGGCTTAGAGAGAATATGGATTACAGGGCAAATGCTTTCCAATAGCTATATGGAAAAGGAATGCCAAAACAGAGACAATAGCCTCTGAGTAATGTTAAATAATTTAACAACTTGCTAAAACAGCATTATTAATATGCAACAGGAGAAGCGTTATGAGGAA